TGGGGTTCTACACTCTTTAGGCGACTGGGCGCCGTTGGATCCACGGCCCCGGGCTGGGCAGTGGTGTCCCGGTGTCTCGGTCATGTTTCTGTTGTGTTTCGGTAATGTTTATTAGGTGGGGTCATGTTTAGGTGGTGTCCCAGTCATGTTTAGATGGTGTCTTGCTCATGGGTTGTGCTTTGGCGGTATCTCGGTCATGTTTAGGTGTTGCTTCGCTCATGTTTGGGTGGTGTCTCGGTGTCTCGGCCATGTTTGGGCGGTGGCGGTGTCTCGGCCATGCTTCGGTGTGCTGATTACGTTTTGGTGGTGTTTGTCTTGTTTTGCTGGTGGTGTATTGGTTCTGTTTTGGTGGTGGTTCGCTGATGGTGGTGTCTCGCTTTATTGTAGTTGTGCCTCGGGCTGAGTTCTTTTGCGTGTGTGAGCTGTGCGCTTGCATGTCCATAGACCTGGTGCACATAGGGTTCTGGCACTTGAGCAAAATAATGCGCGTGAGTGTATGAACTATGCGTCCATATGTAACAAAGTTGTTTCGCTTGAGAAGAGCTTCCTTGTATTGTTTGTAGTTTGTATAAAATCTGAGCTGGCGAGTACATGCGTGTTCTGCTTATGTCGATATTTCTTTTCGCTGCCTTTTGAACACATTGGCATTCGGATAAACTACGCGCTTGCGTGCCCAAACACGTGTCGTTTGTGGTGCAAGTGCTTGGATTGTGCTCCCTTTGAGAATTGCATTCATTACACCAGTCGTATAGAAATAATGCATCCGTGATGAAAATACATGCTGTTTCCTTTGGTAGTGTATATTACTGTCATATGATTGCATTGATCCCCTATGATATCCTTTGAAACGTCTCATTCTTTGTCTGTGTGGAGATTGCGCGCTTCCATGTCCAAACACCTATTGTGCTTAGAGTGATTTTTGTGTATATGTTTTCCACTGGCGCTTGATATCTTTTGGCGAGTATGTTTGTCAGATGCGAATGAAAATGGCGCGCATATACTTGAACAACAATTTTGACCACCGGTAAACATGGAGCTTAATGGAACATACATTCTGCTTGGATATGGAGTTTTGTGTAACATCGTGTCTAACTTTTGTGTTTGCGTTTCAATATATTTACAGCCTTCGGCATGCCGCCGGCCACCAGCTCGAGCCCGCATTGGCAGGCAGCCTAATGATGCTTATTAACAGTGTTCCACAGTTCTATTTTCGATCCAAGGCAGGGACAAGATCACCTCTTCTAGGCTGAAGCAGCTATATAATCCGGCACGTCTCTTTGATTCTCCAAACCGTTCGAAATGAAAGACCCAGAATGACATCGAACAACAATACCCTGCTCAATCATACTTGTTGGTGCATTGGAGTTGCACATTTGGCTGGGTGAGTTTGTTGATGTTTATTTCAACGTTGTTTGACCATGAAATGGAACGAATCCGAATCAGAGGTTGTCTATTCTGACCCAGCGATCCGAACCGGCATGTCTCAGTCGAACCACCTAAGAGGAAAATTGAAACCGACACAAGCAATGCGAACCAAGACTATCCACAAAACATGACCTTGAAAACGATTCTTCTTCCAAACTACTTGGCCGTTTGCGTGTTTTCCTTTTCAGATCTTTTTTCCGACCGTCTCGAGGGATTGCGACACGCACCAGATATTCTTTTTCACACACAGAAGGCTTCAAAGCGACCGAAGAATTTCTAGATCTGGCATGATTTGTCGTTTTTTTCTCCAAACCGTTTGAAATGAAAGACCCAGAATGACATCGAACAACAATACCCTGCTCAATCAGACTTGTGGGTGCATTGGAGTTGCACATTTTGCTGGGAGAGTTTGTTGATGTTGATTTCAAGCGAAGTCGTTTTACAATGAAATGGAACGAATCCGAATCAGAGGTTGTCTATTCTGATCCAGCGATCGACATGTCTCAGTCCAATGGTTGTCTATTCTGATCCAGCGATCGACATGTCTCAGTCCAATCACCTTAGACGTAGAGGGGGGGGGGAGGGGGAGGGGGGGGGTCAGGCTGTCGAAAAATCCGCGCGGAGATACAAACCGTAGATTGAAACCAACACAAGCAATACTAACCAAAACAATCCACAAAACACGCCGGCAGGCCGGCGGATTTTGGTGTTGGTGGAATTTTTTCCACATGTAAGAGCTGCTTGCTTGACACTGAGTTTCTTGTATCGTTCGTGTATAAGTCATGCGTTGGCACATATTCGTTCATTCACTGCTTAGACATATATGTATTCTGTTTACTTTTGAACAGCCTCCTCTTTGCTGGTCAATATTCGCTTGGTTTGCTTGTTTTTTTGTATGAGCTATGCACTTGCGTGTCCAAACGTGTATCTTCCCTGCTACCATGTCTGAAAGTATGATCTCTCTGACAACTGCATTCTGTGTACCTTTCATGATCCTCCTTCTAATTCAGGGGGTGTCAGTGCAGACTATTTTAGAAGCCTAAATCTGGCACATGAGGTTAAAACCAGAAATAAACAGTGTAGAAACAAGAACGCCAAGAAAATGCATGTGATAGCATAGAATCCAAACATGAATTGCCAAAGCACTTGCAGAGCTAAGGACTGCACAAGACATCCACAAACTCTTTCTAGCATCAAGTGCAGAACCTCTTCAAGCCTAAAACTCCTATAGAATCACAGGACTCGAGCTTTACACGTTGAAGTATATTTATTGATACATGTTTCTGTTTACACATGGAATAAAGTCTGTCTTGCGGAATCAGGCTTGCATGGAACAAGTTCCCACAAACACAGAGAGGCATGTAAAGCCAACGACGAAAGCGAGACTCGCATAGCTGCCACCATCTGTGCATCTTGCATATTCGTTCCCATCCAAACAAGTGAAACTATATATTATATGTTTCTTTCCGGCTTTGAACTTTGCTTTGGATCCGGGTCACCCTATAGACACGGACACAAAAAGGTGGGAAGTCGCGATGAAGGACGGACCCTTTCACTTGTGTTATTCCAGAAACTTGCGTGACCATGAGCAAAGACACAAAAGCAAAGACTTGTGCGTATTGGACAAATCAACCCAGCTGACCCCAATAGGAAAGCATTCCCGGGATTTGATGACAACAACTTGATCATACTATCACCAAACCAGACAGAAAGTGCACTTACGGACGAATGCATATATAATTATACACAACACGAATAACCTCGGGTTTTGAAGACAAAAGCACTGCAGTGTTTAAAAAGGAGCCTAGCGAACCACTTTTAGACACGAGGGTGTTTGGTGCTTGATTCCCAACCTTGCACAGGTGCAGATGCAGAACAAAGCCGAGTCGTTAGATGTGGAGGCATCGCATGCCAAGTTGATCGTTGATGCTGTAACATATGCACTAAGTGCAGTGCAATGTACATGTCCCATTCAAGTGGCATCAGGCTTCCGAGATCAAGCCGATTCTTGACGAGGTGCCTTTCAGCAGATAGGAACTATTTGCATGGGCGGCGAGATTTCTTGAAGCACTCTCCCAGAGTCCAGATGTTCTTGTTTTACCGGCTACCTGAACGACCTCTGAAAGTAAGTTTCATCCTTCAAACCATGATGGTTTCCTAGCAAACTTGTTGAGCTTGCAATGAACATTGTAACGATGTATACTGCATGATTCATCTCGCTTTGGATGTCTAGCTGGTCCTGCAGCTATGATGCCACATATTATGCTTTTTCTTTTCTTGCTGATTTGCCTCAGGTACATTAAGCCGTTCTCTTGCTGTGCCTTGTGAGGCGTCATGGTTCTAGTACCGTGCAGCTTGACGAGATAACCTTGCTTTGTCAAAAGAAGCAAACTACACTTTCTTCCACAGCTCAATCTGCAGGCTGGCCAGAGTAAGGCGTTTCACGGAATGAGGCGTTTGGAAGGTCTTCGGATATGTCCATCGTCCTTTTTTTGGCGGGGTCGTGGAGGATGTTGTGAGCTTTCAACTTTTTGTTTAGCTATTTGACAACTACAAAAGATTTGAGACGACAATTGTTTGATGAGAGAAAATGCCAGTGTAGCATCCTGTCTGGTAGGCAGAAATGATTCCTCATTGATCCTCACAGCCTGTGTACATTGATCCGTGCTCTTTGCGTGAACAAGAGGGGCCATTGAAGCACTCTCCAACACCAGAGTATTAATGCAATTTGCAAGGCTACTTCCAGCTAGTCTCTGGTCTCGTTCGCGTGGGTTTTCACTTTGATGGGTTTGTGCCCTCAGATCTCGCAAGAAGATTTGTGTGGGCAAGGCTCTTTTGGGTGGATGCAAAGCAGCGCGGCATGCAATTTGATATTTCTTGACAAAGGTCTTTCAAGACTGTGGACCATACAAATCTCCTCTTGTCAATGAGAGAGCTAAAGCCGCATGCCACCCTTTTAATTAGTGTGCTCGAAGAAGCCTCGCGCGTTTGATGAAAGACAGCGACAACTTTTGTTCCCAACTTAGCTACTAGTAGCTTCTTGTTACTCGTAGTAATGCCAGGAGCTACTGGTAGCTTCTTGCTACTAGTAGCGATGCACTTAGCTATCCAGATTTTGCACGGCCATGCGGAGCTGCTCCAAATTGCCACACAGTGCATCCTGGCTGCCATTCGGAGAACACGACGGAGTGTGCGACCAGATGTCGGTCAAAACCCTGCAAATCAGACTAGTTCATATCAGCGCAATTGGCATGTGTAGTTTTAACATGTCTTAAGACATATCTGGTGTCAAGGACACCTTTGATTTCTTTGAGCGCGAATGCTTGGTGAGCCTTGTGGCCCTGTGCAGACGTTTGAAAAAGATGTGTTTGTGTGCGTGTGTGTGCGCGTGTTGGATGAACAAGAACTGCAGCCTTCCTTGTTCATATACATTCGGAGGTTTATGATCCAAGAAACGCGTGCCCAGCAAGTTTCCCCTTTTCCCCTAACAGGCTTCCCTCTTGCAGCTGACAGAGCGGGCTTTCATTGATACGCTGGACCACCAATTCTTGTTGTCAGGGAACAAACAGATGCCAAGGAAAAGCAACCATACCTCTGCTTGTCCTGGGCCGCTTCTCATGGGCAGTGGCAGCAGCATCCAGCGTGGAGCAAAGTGCGCCAATCCAGTCCTGGAAAATAGCTGGATGAGAACGCTGCAATCACTGACCCAAATCTAGATTTTCACCTCAGGCCGGCCAAGACTTTTTGACTTTCTTGGAGCGTTGCATCTTTTCTGGAATGCGTTGCGAAGAGTTCTTGTTCCGGGTTCAGGCTGTTTTCGCTCGATTTTACTTTGGCGTCCGCAACCATTTGCAACCAAGAGCGTCATGCAAGAGTGTTCTGCAAAAGTATCACACAAGAGTGTCCCGCAAGAGTCTACAATCATGTTAAGCCAAGCAAAGCTGTCCAGAGTGTCACTCGAGAGTGTCCCACAAAAGTGTCACGCAAGAGTATTCCACAAGAGTGTTGAGCAAAGGTGTCGTACAAGAGTGTGACACAAGAGAGTCACACAAGAGAATGTCCTAGAAGAGTGTCTTGCAAAGGTATCCGACGGCAGTGTGAAGCAACATTGACTTGCAAGAGTGCTATGCAAGAGCGCTCCACAAAGGTGTCACACAAGTGTCTCCTAGAAGAGTGTTTATCAGAGTGTGACAGAAGAGCCTACTACGAGAGTGCAGCAGAGAGTCCTACAAGAGTGTCAAGCAAGACATCGGTGTCCTCTTGGAGTGTCTTACAACAATCCAAGTGACGCAAGTGTCATCGAGGGATCCCGCAACATTGTCCTTGCCTCCAGGATCTCTAGAGAACACTATATGGAAGCCACCCCTATAGGCGTCCTTTTTGCTTTTTGAGGGCTTGCTATCGAGGAATGGAAAACTAGAGAAAGGACATAGATAGTTATATTTTTTGAATTTGTTTGTTGGTCCTGTCTTTCGTTTTATCTCTTCTCAGGTTAGTTTATTGCACAAAGGACGGGCGATAACATGGTAGTATTGCCAAAAAGGTCCTGCCAGCCAAAGAATGAACGGTGGACCGCCCATGACACAAAACTGATCCAAACTGTTTTTTTGCTTGTTTTTTGTGAACACACGTGCTGGTGCCTTTTGTTTGTCAAGGCAGTCAAAATCACAACTGACTGGCAAGTAAGTTTCCTTGCATGTGTGGATTGCATAAACATAAGCTTTGGAACCTTTTCACAGACGTTCTTCCCAACCCCAGTATCCTGAGCTACAGCTGCAGGTACAAACAGGGAACATCGGAAAACGCAGGGGCCACAACAGATTCCCCGCGCATGCGCAGTCATCATGTAGTCAGTCAGACTGCGTAAAGAAGAGCTGCAGGGAATTCCGCATGATCTAGCAGTATGTAGTCAAAGAGATCACGGCAGGAGTGCCAATAGGACTATGATGGACTGACAAGTGGTTCTAGGCCCTGGCCGAAGAACTTCATGCACAAGGCTGTCCATCTGAGCAATTGAGCACCACAGTGGCGATGGTGAATGCTATAGTAGCGTCTTTGCTCCTAGTAGCGATGCCCTTTGTTACTAGTAGCTTCTTGTTCCTAGTAGTAAGGCCAGGAGCCCCTAGTAGCGTCCTTGCTCCTAGTAGCGATGCCAGGAGCCCCTAGTAGCGTCTTTGATCCTAGTAGCAATGAATGCTTCACAATTTTGCCAGGTCAGGTGGTCCGGTCAGGGCCGACCAGTTATCGCCACAGGTGCGGAGAGGGACTCGCCACCGGGGGAGTTTGTGCGCAGCGCACGGCAGTGCCCTGCACATCTGTCACCTCCATGTCATCAGAAAGTTATACCATCGATTGTGGTGGAACGATGCGTGTGAATGCCCTGTTTGGACAAGACAAAGGCTTGCTCAAACTTTAGGTATTTGTTGGGGTAGCGGTTTGCTCAAGTGAAAGAGGAGTTGCCTCTAGTTTGAAAGTACTTGCTAGCCCTTTGCTGAACACTCACATAGACTTCAGTTAATGTGCCTGAGCTTCGCTTCACTGTGAAAGGAGGATGCCGAAATCTGGGGCAGGCCAACTTTTTAGAGGGAAATGCCGGACGGATGATCTCTGAATGTTGTGCTTTCATACAGATTCAGGGTCCTGTTGTACCTGGTATCTGAGCTTTTGGATTGAACTGCCTCCTTCGAAGAAACCTACTGCAATTTTCAGCTTTGTCAGGCAATTCGACATGCTTGCACCAAGGGATTCAGCTTTCAGTCAGTCCATTCTGATGCAGGCAGCATGGGTGTGGTGTGTTCACAGGAAGCCAATCCTCTTCGTGAGGCGGCCATGTCACGAGTCGTGGAACTTGTTCAACAAACGCATTCAGGACGCTACTAGGAGCAAAGGGCATCGCTACTAGGAGCAGGGACGCTACTAGGGGCTCCTGGCCTTACTACTAGGAACAAGGACCCTAGTAGGGGCGCCTGTCATTGTTTGCTTTTGCTTGGACCACTCCTGGAAAGCGAGAGTGGAAAGGCCCGCCTTTGTGAGCCCAACGAGTGTAGTAAGTCAAGAAGTGTGGTGACCCCATTGTGCCAAAATGCGAGCACTCTAATTCGCAGTGGCTGTTGAATGTGAACGCAGTAAGTGATTGCTTTCGGTTTGCCACTCAGTGATGTGGAGCTTCATGTTTTGAGAAACAAAGACACTCAGTGACTGGTTCACTGTTGGATTCACACTCTCTCTCTCTCTCTCACTCCCCACCTCTCTGACAACAACGAAGTGGGCATGGGGCAAAGAGAGCCAGGAGATGTCGCCAACGGCTATGCCCCAACACTGGCGGAAGAAATGGGAGAGGAGGGTTTTTGTTCCTTGCTTTCAGTGGTTTGGTGCTGGTGTTTGAGTGTCTTCCAATTTTTCAGACGAAGGACTTCATGCACATATTTAATGACATGGTATTGTGAAATGTACTCCAAATACAGCATGGTCAAGCAGACATTTTCATAAACTCCTTGCAGAGTCCATGAAAGGAAGTCAGAACGAAAAGAAGCAAAAAGAACGGTCAAAAGGTCTAGAGTCTAAAGAAGAACAGACCAAAAAGCAACCCACGTAAAATAAACATAATAAACAAGAAAGACAAGGACAGCCGTTGCGAGTTTATTGTGAGACCGTTCGCGAGGCCGGCGGCCACGTTCCTTGTGAACCACGTGCTTCGGCGGCTTCCGCCACTGAGGAGATGATCGGAGCAGAACAATCCTTGAAAGTTAAAACTGTATGTTCTTCTAAGTTGGGGGATAGGCAGCAAGAACAAGCCTACGAAGATTGAAGGAAGTATATAGCCATTGTCGTAGCAAAGAAGCAGGCACTAGGGATGCACGCAGAAAGACCCCCACATGAGATTGGGTGCCTAGATTTTTTAATGGAATTTTCACCTTTAGGAACACAAAGGCGAGTCCGCTTCAACCCTTCTTGCCAGTGCGCCTGGCCGGAGCCTTCCACGAGTGCCTCCAGAGCGGCTGGCTGGCAGATCTGCGGTGCGCCTGTGGATACACTTGGAAGATGCAGACGCACGACCGAGTAGCTGCGTTTACAATACGACATTGTAAACACCCTGAATATCAGGTTCCTTTCCAGTGAACGTCATTGGACACACTGGTTGAGTCCAGTCTCAAGCTTGATGAATTTGTGCAATAGAATGGGTTTGCATCTAGAGTGCAGCCTGATGTTTGTGTACCACAAAGTGCAAGATCAAGAAACCTTCAGAACACCAGCGCCCCTCATTGATTCGATTCGTTGAGGCAACTGATGCTACTTCAATGTATATACTCCGCGGTAAAAGTAGATGAAACGTGTTTCTAAGGTTGTGCCATCAATATTTTGGGCACCTGCAAGCCTCTACCGGTGAGAGGTCATTTTCCTTGTGCCATCTACTTGTTCCAGACTTGGGAGGGCTAAATCATCAACCTCAAAAAACCTTGTGCCATCTACTTTTGCGTGACCATGCCCCGGAGATTGTGCCATCTACTTGGCTGTTATCGTGCACTGGTCTGAAAGCTAGGTCAATGGAGTGTGAAGTGGACGCAGAAGGAAAAGGGAAAGGCAAGGGAAAGAGAGGGAAAGGAGAAGTGAAGGAAAGGAGAGGAGAGGGAAAGGGCAGGAAAGGAATCAGACAGGAATCCACAGGAAATCAAAAGGCTGGATGGCTTGCGCCATCAATTCTGAACGCACACCCATCCTACTCCCCACGGGAGCGTAAAAAACCTTGTGCCATCTATTTTTTCGTGGCCTCGTTCCCCAAAATCACTACCCATCAAAAACCTTGTGCCATCTACCCCCCCTGAAATGGGGCCAAAAAAGTGTCCGACGAAGCCATGTACTCGCCCTCCCGTTCTTTCCGAGTTGCTCCTGATACTCTCCTCGCGGTGTATATATATATATATAGATGTTCAATGCACTGAGCTTCTCCAACTGAAACTGTTTCAATATTCAGCAAGGTTATATAGTTCACCCCTTGATGCTACTTCCATACCTTCTCTTCAGACAGGTGGCCCGCATGGCAGTCGACTACTGGCGGAATGAGGCCGTGCGAGATGCGTGCCTTGGCTGCAAGGAAGTGTAACTGTGAGCTCGAATGGGCTGTGAGCCGAAAGCGCGCGAATACCGGGAGTACCGGGAGTACTAGTACGAGCTCCTTTTCTTGCCCAATCAGTGGACTGGTCGCACCTTAGTGGTTTCAAGAACCAAGGGCAGCACTTCTCAAGTGTGTTACCCTCAGCGAGCATTTCCTACGTATATTACGAAAGCCAGCCTTCGTAGAAGGCGCTAGCGGAGTTGTGTTTGGCGAACGAAGTGAGTAGTTAGGGGGTCTGGGGAGGTGGCCCGGGAAAGGTACACGTAAACTCGGCACATGCTGGGGGAGGAGGGTGCGTCGAGGGAAGGTTTTTTGAGGTTGTGTTGGAGGTGATTTTTGAGGGGTGGTGATGCAAGAAATGCAATCTGCATCATTTGCATCATCTGAATGGAAAGGTGTAGTTGGCACCTTGCCAGGTAAAGAGATCCAGGGTAGCTATAGTGCAGCTACCAGGTATAGTACTTCAAGTTCCCTTTCCGTCAACCGCTCGATAACCTCTACTTGTATAGGTGTGTAAGAGGTATAGCGCCACAGTATTTATACGGACCCAGGTAGCTACAATTCTGTTCCCAGGTA